CATTGTATATAATAGTACGTTCCTCCTTTCCTCCCAAACGCATATACCTAATGTAGATCAATCTCGCTGAACGAAGTAGAAAAAGCTATTTCATTTAATTGTTACCAATGAAAAACAAATATATGGGAAATATATCAGTAACTCGCGATTCTCGTGAAAAGGAACGAATCTATGATACGAAGGGACAAAGAGATCAGGACACTTTTTCATTTTTTTCTTTTTTAGATAGGATTTCCGATCAAAAATAGAGGTTAGAAATACGGAGAAGAGAGAGGCAAGGAAACAGGTGGCGCTGCGTGAGACGTCCCAACGTGCGGCGGCGAAAGTCGACGAAAATTAAAAGAATCCCAGTCGAAAGAAGTATAAGTACAAAAAATGACAACAGCTTTATTACACATTGTATTCCATATAATATAATCGTTTATACGTACGTGCTTCTCGTTAATTATGGGTCGACGAATGCCGGCCAATGACGGCGCTGCTCGACCGTTCAATCGAACGATCGATTAAACGCCGCCTTAATCGATCCGAATCCACGTCCGTCGACGCTGTGTGCTCCGCGCCGCGAACACTATTTTTTTCTCTCTCTCTCTCTCTCTCTCTCCTTTTCGTTTCTGTTTTCATTCCCTCTCATCATCTTTCGTTCACTATTTTACTATCTCTTACGCAATTTTCTATACACTTTTGTTTGTATCGTTTCTTCTTTTTTTCTCTTTAAATATCCGCTCCGCCCACTATTTTCTTTTTTCTCTCCTTCTCTCCCGAAAAAAAAACGTTCTTTTTCTTTTATACTTTGCTCACTGAGCGAGACTCGCGAATAATAATAACAATAAGAAAGAAAGAAAAGCAAGAAAAAAAAAGTTGTGACCAGACTTAGTAAAGTTTGTGGTAGAGTCGTTTCGTTTATTTAATTATCATTATTATTTATTAACAGGAACATCATCGAATCTTTGTTCGTTACATCGTCATCATCGTACGTTTCTACATTATTATCGTGATCATCACTATCAGCATTTTATTTATCACCACCGGCGTTAATTGATCGTATCGGACAAGTAGCGTCGTAGTGTGTCAATTACCATTATTATTATCATTATAATCAGCAGCATCGTTCATCATCATCATCATCATTATCATCATCGTTTGTTCAGCAGCATCATCATCCATATAAATAAATAATTATCATCAACCGTGCGATAACAACACATAATCGTCATTTGTTCGAGCTTTCGCGGCCGAAGTGGGCGAGAAAATATATTTTTTTTGTCTATTGAAGAGAAGAGAAAAGGAAACAAGTTTTATTGGCGGGGGAAAAAATTTAGATCGAACACGAATAATTTTTGAAATTTTGTTTCGAAAGGAGTAAGAAAATTTGGATTGAAAAGAAGCGAAAGTTGACT